AGCTATATAAATGTGTACTTCACAATACAAAGTTTAGTTTTCATGTTACTGTGAATTGGTTACACATGGTTTAGCTATATAAATGTGTACTTCACAATACAAAGTTCAGTTTTCATGTTACTGTGAATTGGTTACACATGGTTTAGCTATATAACTGTACTTCACAATACAAAGTTTAGTTTTCATGTTACTGTGAATTAGTTACATATGGTTTAGCTATATAAATGTGTACTTCACAATACAAAGTTCAGTTTTCATGTTACTGTGAATTAGTTACATATGATTCAGCTATATAAATGTGTACTTCACAATACAAAGTTTAGTTTTCATGTTACTGTGAATTGGTTACACATGGTTTAGCTATATACAAAGCATTCTTAACACCACAGAGTTTTATTTTCATGTTATCGTGAATTGATTATGTATTAAAACTTGGTTATTTCTGTTTGGTTTATGTATTACATATTTCATGTTTTTTGTTCTATTAGCAGCTGGAGCAGGGAGGAATGAAGACATCTTTATTTACGTTTTTTGTTTTCATTGGAATCAACATCATTGTTTGCGCCCTCTACATGCACAAGTACCTTCACATAGCTGCTTTATTTAGGGAATCGAATAAGCCTGTCACGTCAAACGACCAAAGTTTGGTAAAATCAGAAGTTATTTATAATGTGAAACATAACCATGGTTACACGATCGACCATCGTCACCTAGCAACGACTTCTCATGTCCATCATGACGACCGATTTCCCACTAGGCTGACACAAAATGGAGTCGACTTTACAACAGAGGAGGTAGTTCTTGAAAATAGGGTTAACACGCATCCTTACACTTTTATCATTAATCCCATAGATCTCTGTTCGTCAACAAAAACATCTTTTGGCCTTCTCATTCTCGTCACCAGTAAGATTTCAAACTATATCGAACGCTTAACGATCAGGTCCACGTGGGGTTCCGATGCGACCGTGTTTAATAACGAGGGTGACGTCAGACTGGCCTTCTTGCTGGGATATACGACAGACAAGAGTGCTCAAAACATGGTTCTTCGGGAGTCCGGTGTTTATGCGGATATTATCCAAGAGAACTTCCTAGACACATATAGGAATCTGACCCTCAAATCTGTGATGCTTCTCAAGTGGGTTAGTGAATATTGTCAGAATGTTCAGTTTGTGATGAAGACTGATGATGACATGTACATCAACATCCCAAACTTGCTAAAAATGTTATCCATGGTTTTTAGTCAGTCGAATATAATGATTGGTTACTTGTTCACAAAAGCTAAGCCTAACAGGAAGAGAAGAAATAAGTGGTACGTCTCTAGGTCTGAGTTCCCTGGTGGTGTGTATCCAAACTATCTGTCAGGTACTGCCTACGTCATGAGCCGCCAGGTTGCTCCAAAGTTGTATCAGATCAGTCTCAATACAAATTTTCTGACAATGGAAGACATTTTTGTAAGTGGTGTTTTGGCCTCCAAAGCAAAAGTAACTAGAAGACACAACAATATGTTCACGTTTTACAGAAGAAAGCCACTGGATGTGCCTTCGTTAATGCTATATCTGGTCATCACGTCACCGTTAAGGAGATGGAAACCATATGGAAAGAATTGAAGGACCCACTTCTGAAGTGTAAAACAAAGAAAAACCGCAGACTATCGATAAGAACAAAAATATCAATTACACTTTTAAAACCAACGGAACACGTGGGATAAAACAGACCCGGTGTTGAGGCGTGTTCTCAGTCAATGATATCAGATTTAAACAATGTGCCTTTGTTTTGTTTTGTTTTGTTTTTCTCTCTTTCTTGCTTTTAGGGTTTCGTGTATTTTAATTTTGAACAAGTATCAGTTGAATAGAAACTGTTTGGCTCATCGATAAAAAAAATGTATTTCTGTTTATATGTTTAAAACACAATAGCAACGATTTGTTATTATAAACATGATAAGTGTATATTAACCTATTTTATACACACAATGTGTTAATCAAAACGTGCTTATAGTTACATATATAGACAGGTCCTTGGTAAACTGGTCGGTCTGTTTCAGTACTTCTGGTTTCTCATAACCTCAAAGTCTCATTTGTTCTCACTGACACTAAGTATGTTTTCTATGACATGATAAAAGTGATAAATTGACTGAGTTCGAAATAATACTTGTTTGTGTTAACATTAAACATGATATTTCGGAGATATATTATTACATTACGTTGTGTGGAACTGTTTTGTTCTGGTTATTTCCGTTTGTGTTAACATTAAACATGATATTTCGGAGATATGTTATTACATTACGTTGTGTGAAACTGTTTTGTTCTGGTTATTTCCGTTTATGTTAACATTAAACATGATATTTCGGAGATATGTTATTACATTACGTTGTGTGGAACTGTTTTGTTCTGGTTATTTCCGTTTGTGTTAACATTAAACATGATATTTCGGAGATATGTTATTACATTACGTTGTGTGGAACTGTTTTGTTCTGGTTATTTCCGTTTGTGTTAACATTAAACATGATATTTCGGAGATATGTTATTACATTACGTTGTGTGGAACTGTTTTGTTCTGGTTATTTCCGTTTGTGTTAACATTAAACATGATATTTCGGAGATATGTTATTACATTACGTTGTGTGGAACTGTTTTGTTTTAACACACATTAACCACTCTTGGGTTTAACATTCTAAACTTTTAGTGTGTAAAATACCGTCCAGTGTTTGTCTGCATGTCTTCTAAGGCCCGGCATGACGCTGGACTCGCATCTGAAGGTCACACAAAGTCGAGATCTTTCACTCCACCTCTTAGGAAACTCGGACATTTACGGGGGATTCCCTAAAATCCGACCCCAAATTTAGCACTGATTTACCTTAAAGCACGAAAATAAGTAGACCAAATAATTACAGTTCGTAAGTTAGTTAAAAAATTAAATATGAATTATAGCGGTTGATGGGTTCGACAGTATGATTAAAACCTATGGTGTACCTATCATTACTTCAACATTTGAAGTACAAAAACATGGATTAATACAATGTACTGGGACAAAACAGAGCGTTAGGACAGTGTAGATATAAAACACAGCGTTAGAACAGTGTGTAGATACAAAACACAGCGTTAGAACAGTGTGTAGATATAAAACACAGCGTTAGAACAGTGTGTAGATACTAAACACAGTGTTAGAACAGTGTGTTAAGCCCTATAAGCAATGTGTTAGTTTTCATTCCTAAATTCCGTCAACCGTATGTTGTACAAGACATAATGTCTTCACACAGGTTTTGCTAAGATCAAACAAAAACACCACTGAAATTTTGAACTCAAGCATCCAGGGGATGCGAAGTATACCAACTAATCAGAACAAGCTACTGAAATATTAGCAGCTGCTAAATCTTATTATAATGAATGTAGTGTATGTATGTAATCACAACTGAATGAAATGTGGCGCCATCTATTTAATGGCACCACAAACAAAAATCCATAAATAAATTTACATTTTGGATATTCAAGATTCAGTCAATTTGAAATAAAACAAACAACCATTTATTTATAACAGAACATGATTTTCACTAGGGCTGTACGTGAGGTTTTGATTATATGTATTTATTGTTGTAATTATTAAACGCAGTACTAAAATACTGGAGTTCTTATAAAACTATTATTTGTTTCAATAAACGATACCACTTTTAATACATAAAAAATATTACATGTTATATCAGTAACATTTATGAAAATTTTGAGCTCTGTACATATAATCAAACTTATACTGGTAACGTTTGTAAGAAGAGCAGGTCTAAAATAGTTTAGAGAAATATTTGTTTGGCAAACACAACAGAACTACCTTGAACTCTGTGTTACGACAGCGGAGGTCACGTGACCCTGGTGACACGTGATAAGTATCTAGAAGTTTAATGAAGAGGCGAGTGCATTCTAGACGCCCTCTATTCTTGTATATAAGCGCGGAAAATAAAGCGAGACAATTAATTGGATAGCAGACAGGAAGACAG